AACCCTTGGGGACCGCTTCTGATATCATCGCGGTGTTACTTCCTGAGTGAATGTCTGTTTAATTTCATGCTGCCGAAGCCCGTATCAGCATTTCTGGGTTAATCTTCGTGTGCGGTATTCCGTGGGTAATTCGGAAGACTTCAGTGTTTTGCTGGAAATGTCTTTGGATTTAGAACGGTCGTGTCTGAAGCTTGTTGTAGTTGCCTTATCTAATTTCCGTGTTTATTTTCCACAGTATGGGTGGGAACACTCAGTTCCCAAAAAGAAAAGGCTCCCACCAGTGAAAAGGTCTCTGGTGTACTACCTGAAAGGTAGAGAGGTCAGGATGCAGAATGAGTCCAGCTATCAACATGTGTTGCACGGATATGCAGCCCAGCAGCTTCCCAGCCTCCTGAAGGAGAGAGAATTTCATCTCGGAACCCTTAATAAAGTGTTTGCCTCCCAGTGGCTGAACCACCGGCAAGTGGTGTGTGGGACAAAATGCAACACAGTAAGTGCCATCTCTGTTTCTCAATTAATTATTCCACCCCTAAACGATGCTTACCGTAATCGAAGTATCTAGGCTGCCAAGGAAAATATTAGGAAGTAATTACGAGTGGAGTCGAAATCGCGCACAATTAATTTTGAATGGAAGTAATGCTTAACGATGACCCGTTCTCATCTCAAAACGTGGTACCATGCAGATGGCTGGGCACCTGAACGGGAGGGCTGTACCTGGGAGCAGCACCGGTCTCATCTGCACCAAGCAATTTACAGGGGATGGAGAGCAACAGTGGGATTGGATCTTTCTTCTTGTCCTGCAAAACGGTGCTAAGCTTGCTGAACGGTAGCTACCATGCCTGGCAGAAGTTGCTACTTAGACTCTTTTTATTACGCTTAGTCTTACATAGTTTGTTTATATGTGCGGTTCTGTGCTGATGATTATGAAAAGTTGCTGCAAAATTTAAAAGTGTGATTAAACTCCAGACATTCCTCAGAGTAGCTAGAAGTGTTGAAAGCTTAAAAAAAATGAATTTCAGAGGATTATCCTTTGCTTGTTCACTTTGTGATTTTTTTGCTTTAAATCTGTTTTCAGTGTTCGAATAACTTTTCTTGTTCACAGCAGGCAGCTCCCCCGCGCTGCTCCCTGCCCCCACGGCTTTACGCACTTCAGCAAGATTTAAAACTTCTTTAGACTCTTGAAGCGATGCTTTGGATTTGGAACGTTATAGGGGAATATTTAAATTATATCCTATGTGATTAATAAATGGAGATCGTACTTCTTAGGCAGTATTTTCTCTGTCGGAGTTAGTAGCCCAGCTTCACTGGCTGAGATTGCAATTTTGTGTATGAAGTTCTGATTGAGTTAGTGCAAAATCCCAAATTTCTTCTTTGAAGTTAGTTAGTGCTACAGAAATGAGTTGAGCATTGTAAGCAGCTCTTAAACCTCAAAGTATGTAAACTGGTGCGATTGTTTCTTTGCCTTAAGATTTTTTTTTTTCACAGAAGCTGTGCTCAGTGGTCTGACTTGCAAGGGACAGTGGTGGGTTTTTTCATTTCAGATGTTCTGTTATTATTCATAGTTACATAGTGGGAGGCTTTCATGCAGTAGCTCTTAAGAAGCAAGACATAACTGTATAAACAAAACAGTTTTTTAGCAGGAATAGGCCTGAAATAGAACCTCTCTGCCTTCTTTCTCCACATCTGATAGGACAAGGGGCAATGGATTTAAACTGAAAGAGGGCACGTTTATATTAGATATAAGGAAGACATTCTTCACTCAGAGGGTGGTGAGGCAGTGGAACAGGTTTCCCAGAGAGTTGTAGATGCTCCATCCCTGGAAGTGTTCAAGGCCAGGTTGGATGAGGCTTTGGGCAACGTGGTGTAGTGGAGGGTGTCCCTGCCCATGGCAGGGGG